GTTTGAAGGGTTTACGATTTATTTTTTTGGCCCCCACCGGCGATTTGTTGTTAACTGTCGGACGATCGCTTAGTGACTGATATTAAGCCAATGTTTGTGCTTTAATTTGTCGCTGCGACGGCGTCGCCAGAGCGGCTATAAACCCGGCCAGACACACAGATATATGTATTCCCACTCCCCACTGAAACTCGGAGACGAAGTCGGTTCGGTTCGGGCAATTAGCGCAATGGACAATAAACGTTACCGTGACGCAGGTGGGGCGAAGTCGGCCTCTCTCTCGACCAGGTGAGCATATACACCATGTGTACCCATTGTGCGTATGGGTGCTTTCTACAGATCACTCAGCTTTGGGCATTCGGCGGCCAGACAAGTCTGCCTTCATCCCATTACTCATACGCCGTGTGTTCGGGGAGGAGATGCGGAGGAACCCGAGGAGTATGAGGATAACCGGGTGTCCAGAGTTTTGGCCCGATAGTGTTGTTAGGGAAGACTCCTATCTGGGGAATGGGGACGGTACTTTGCCGAACTAAATTAGTGGGCTTAAGAACACATTTACTTATCTGATTGCATTTCTCTCAAGACAATTTTCGCGAACAGAGATCGTGCATACTTTTAGGGGCAATCATCTGGGGGAAAGTTCTTTGATATGACTTATGTATATTTCGGAATAATATTTAAATCACCCTGTATCCTTCACAGACACTCTGTCTGCCATGGCAAACCACCTTGCTGACTACAGTATCAACCAAATATCAATCATATATTAAAGTCAAAAGACGTTGCAACTGCACAGAAAACATTTTTAAAAGGCTTTTACAGATGAATAGATCATAAAGCAGGCGGAAAAGATTTTGCATTTGATAGGCAGAAGTTGATTTTGGGGATTCTCGAACAAGACCACAAACCCTTTTCAAGCGGGTCATTGTGTTAGCCTAAGACTTTCTCAAGCAATTTGAAACATTCCAAATGAATTGTCTGTAAAATAAAAATGTTGTAAGATATTAACACTAATAACAAAGATGTATTACTGTTATGGAATAATTAAATTATTTGCTATAACTAAATAAAGAAATGGTTGATAAAAACAAAAAATAGGGAAAGATCTTAGAAATGTAATTAAAATATGAAAAACTGATCCTCATATATTTCTTATAGTGTACATGGTCACCAACAAGAGTGAATGCAACACTCGAGAATTTGTACGACACTTCGGAGCTCTTTGGACCTCTTAACCGTTCCCCCCATTTTCTACCTAGCCCCCTAACAATTACTTAGTATTGCCTTGGGCGCTTCTCTTTTAGACAGACCATGTGGAGTTTAGTGATTGACTTGTTTCAAGTAGCCAGCTCCCCTTGTTAGCTGGTTTTGTTGTCTAACCATAAAATATGAAAAAACGATCGGTTGTGTTTGCCTTAGCCCGTGTGGTTAGTTAGTTTGCGGCGTCAGTGGGACAGTGGAAAATTTTTAGTGGCATGGCAAATGCTGTATACGAAATGCATTTTTCACGTGATGCGCATTTCGAATTTGTCGAGTTCAAACTGAGCTGCTCCAAATGGATTGTGAATTGTCATTGATTTATGGGGTCATTAAGTGCGATCGCAATTTAAGGGCCAATGGCGTAATTAGTATCGGATAGACAACGGGGATCTGCCACAATATCTCAGGAGTTAATTGGATTGAGTTCGCCAGGGCTGTGGATAGTAAACAGTGTATCTTTAATTGCACAGTTAATACTGATAAAATATGATGTACGAGTTGTGTTGGATTGTTTAACAAGGTTTTTTATTGACGCAAGACAAGAGCACGTTGCGTATACGACATGTGGAAGCCTTGGTAGGCTGATAGACTGATAAGCTACAAAGTTCTGCGATGAACAAGACCACAAACCCCTTTCAAGCGGGTCAAGTACTTAGGTTTTAGACGCAGCAATGTTGACACTTCGATTTCTTATCGTCATGGACTTTAAAAAACATATACTACTGCTGCGTTGAGCCTGATAAAGTTGTACCGCCTTAATAGAGAATTATCGATTGCAAAAGCCTCCTGGATGGGTGCTCTTAAGTGCCTAAGATATTATCGGCTCGGGGGGACTTCCCACTCATCTGATATATATTCTGCAGCCTTCAGAATACCTCTCATCAATCTAATTGATGTTCAAGCGGCAGTTCAAATACAAATACCTGGAAAAAGTTAATTCGAAAAATCCCCGCCCTTAAAAAGATTTTTAAAACCTCTTGTCACCGTCTTCCACTTCCCTGCCTCATTACAATGCTCAACGAGTTCGCATTCGTGTTTCTGACCAACTGATCAAGCTTTAGCAAATGGAAATTTAAAATGCTCGGCGAGCACTTCGCGTCAAATCGCAATGTGTGTATTATCGTTCATAATAACGAGTCAAAACAATAAATAATTGATTTGCTTCCGCAATTCGCTTCCGGATCTGCCTTCTCGCCATGCTTTGGGGTCAACTCGGTTCGAGAACTTGGACACATTGAGCACTGAGTAATTAATTAATTGATTAATTAATATGCACACTGCGCAGCTTGTCGGCTAAGATTGCCGTTTTAGATTCCGATATTTCGGATATATACCTACAGCTTCTGCCAACGACACTGACCTTGCCCGATGTCAGACACCCGCGACGCATTTTTAATTTACTGCTGCGACCACTGACTTCGATCATGAATGGAGGTGAGATAGTGACGCAATGTAGACACGCAGCCGAAATGTGGGCTAGTGGGGGTGGTCCGAGTCATCCGGGTGACAACTTCCTTAAGTTGCCGCCAACAAACCGGTTAAATCTTAAATGGCGGCTATACTAAAGTGATTTTATTTAGCGCCTCTTTTGTTTCGTGTTGCCACAGGTGACAGAACCCCTTTGTTCGTGCGGGCCCCAAAAACAAAATAAGTGTGGAGGAGCACGCCCTGCAATATAAATATTTGCAATATGCAAATTACCTGCTGTACAAATGACAAACGAAGGCACAGTCATTTGGTATTAAAGCTGGCACTTGTAGGCTGATTCGCCATGCAATTACACTCAACTCAACTCATGACAATAGGAACTTTCTAACTCACGGCTTCCCAAGAAATTCCGATTTCCGCATAGTTCGACTACAGAACGATCACCTTGATTTTGCATCTAATTCCCAGTTCTATGCTGCGCGGGAACATGCAATGCAAATGGGAGTGTATGTCGCCCGGTGGTATTTAATGGCTGTAATTAGCATTTTCATGACTAAATAGATATGCGTCATCGCAGCTATTAAAAAATAGCTTAGCTACAATTAGCGTAATTTAAGTTATTTGGCAGCTCGATAGGATCGAATGATTTATATAAAAACAATTAATCTGGGCTTTGACGCTTGAGCGTTTATACAACAGTAACAGATTAAATTATAAATGCAATTTTCAGCTTAACGTTAGGAGTGATGTCAATTTCTCTTACTCCCCCTTGTAGACGGGCTTTCGCTTCTCAGCGAAGGCTGCGAGTCCCTCCAGGCGATCCTTGGTGGGTATCACTTGTGAGTAGCAGATCTCCTCAATGGAGTAGCCGGTTGCCAGGTCCACCTGCATGCCCTTGTCGATGGCCAGTTTGGCCATTCGTACGCCCACTGGTCCGTTGGGCAGGATTTCTTCGGCCAACTTAAGGGCCTGCTGATAGGCGGCGTCCTTGGCTTCGTTCTGCTCCACCACATGATTGACCAGACCCAGATCCTTGGCTTCTGCCCCATCGAAAACTCGCGCCGTGAAAATCAACTCCTTGGCCAGAGCGGGGGACAGGATGCGGGGCAGTCTTTGGGTGCCACCGGCTCCGGGGATGATGGCCAACCTCGTCTCTACCAGACCCATTTTGGTGTTCGAAGCGGCAGTGCGTATGTCACAGGCCAGAGCCATTTCTAGACCACCACCAAGGGCAGCCCCGTCCAAAGCCGCGATGACGGGCATGGGCAGTTGCTCAATCGCAATCAGTAAGCCCCTGAGCTCCTTTACAAATTCGGTGGCTTCCTCGGGACTCATTCCTTTGATTTATATGTCTATTATTATACGGATTAAAATAACTTCTGCAGAACTTCTCACCCTTGCGCTCTTTTAAGTCGGCGCCGGCACAGAAGATTCCAGGTGAAAGACTCCTTATTACAACAACCCTCGATCCATTATCCTTCTTAATGTCATCCAGTACGTCGGTAAAAGTCTCTACCATGCCCCGGCTAAAGGAATTCTTCGCCGCCGGTCTATTTAGGCCAATAACAGAGATTCCCTGGCGAGCTCCGTCCAGTCGCTCCACCAGAACTTCATCTCCAGCACCATAAGGCGTCGCCGCAGCAAAATGGCGGGTTGCAATAAGTGGTCGGGTGAACTGGCGGGCTAATCTCGATACTCCTTGCATCAACATTGACATTTTGTCGTTCAAAACGGGGAAAACAAAAGCAAAAAAAGGCAATCAAGTGATTATAAAACGACCGGCAGAAAACAGCTGTAGAGCCAGTGCTGACAAAAGCTTTAAGCTTTTATCGATATATGCGTCGATAGCACCCAGCAGAAAGTAAGAAGTACGCACTGTCGCATTTGCGGTTATGAAAACAAAAGATTAGTTCTGAAAACTGTAGTGCAAATTGTGTTCATTTTTTTTTTGCTGTGGGCTCACATAGACGGATAAATTGATCAGCTCTGGTAATCTATATATGGTATATCTATATTTATTTAGTCTAGGCTGTAACATCTTAGAGAATGGTCAACCAAACGAATTCTAGCATTCCATTAACTGGCTATTTTGCTATATGATTATATAAAAGAGTTCTTAGTGTAAAAGAGTTAACCCAAAAAAAAACAAAGTATTGGTACAAATACAATTAAACATCCGTTTTTTTTCAAAATGTTCTTGGACACCCGTTTCTTGACTTGCATTCAATGGGAGGTGCACCTCCACAAATGCTTCGTGGTGAGAACATTTCATAACCATTTTTGGTGTGACCAAGTGGCACTGACGAAAAACGAAAGGTACAAAAACAACGGCTAAAGCACAGGCAAAAGCGCCGGTGATGGTTAAATTATCAGTACAAAAAATTCGCCAATGTCTTTTTAAAACCTAATTCCGAGCACGCCCTCGACGCCCCAAGGATTGTGCCCCCAGAACCGACTGGGGCGATCCACAGAGCCACCAGATCAGGAGTAGTTACGCCCGCAATTCGTAGTCCCCCCGTTCTATTTGGCCCGCATGACGTACATAGGTTTGCGCTAAAAGTGAAACCACGGAGCACCCCCAACAATAGAAAACAACCGATTGCAATCTTTATATAGTCTGATAGTGACGCAGCGCGCCGTGTAAGCCATAGTATATGTACATTTAACAATGATAACTACAATCCTTAATCCTATAGAGCAGGATGCTGATGCGCGGCGTGCAGATCCTGCATCGAAGACACCAGCAGTTTGGAAGGGCTTTCAGCCAGTGCTCCTTGCGTCATGATGCAGGCAATCCTTGGCGGCGGAATGAGAGCGAGTCCTTCAAACCGCATCCCTGGAAGCGGCCCAGCATGTTCCTCCAGTTTCGCTGCACTGCCGGTGGCAGTGATTCTAAAAAGAAGGAGCAAGCGGTGCTGGAGGAGACCACCGCTGGTCCAGAGGCTCAACCAAAGGAAAAGCAAACGAAAAACTTTGAGGTAAAGACGTCCAAGGGAATCCTATCTATCAGCACCACCATCGAGGACTCCAAGATCAATGAGATTGTGTTCGAGAAATCCGACCTGCCTTCGGTGACCAAGCTCAATGAACCGGCCTTGGCCGCAGGGGCCATCAGTCTGCGTTCCAGCTCCACTGCAGCAGGGGGTGGTGCAGTGGGAATGGGAGGAGGTTCATCTATGAATCCTACTGAAACCATGCCACTAACAGCACCAGGTCCAACTGCAATTACTTTGGCTGCAGCTGCGCTAGCCGAAAAGACCGGAGATATCCCTTCTAAATCCCCACCAGCAGAGGGTCCGCCTCCAATGCCTGTGATTCCTCCCAAGCGACCTCGATTCGACTATCGCGCTTCACTGGAGCGCAACTTTGTGACTCCCAATAGGGCCATAAGCGATTTCTTGCTGACCGCTACGGACCTTGAATGCCTGCCCAAAATCAAACGGAGATCCCCGTACGAACAAGAGCCACCCATGACCGTCTACTGGCGACGCGATGTGGAGGCCAAGGCCGTCGAAGTGTGGGGCTCCAAGGAGAACCTATTGCGGGAGCGACTTAAGCGGGAGGTAGAACGCAAGCAGTACCAGCAGAGTAAGTGCCTGTTCCCCTTGTGTCTGTCCAACCTTTAATGTGAATGCTAAAGTTTATGACTCCGCAGATCTTTTCACTGTTAAACGGCGGTTGCGCGACTACCGCAGGGAGATGGGATCTCGCACCAAAGTGATGCTCGACAACCGAAAGGAGTCGGAGAAGTCCGGTCAAGTGGTGGCCACAGCCATTGCCATGTGAGTACCATAATTTATAAAGTGAATATGTCAAAAAACAAGGTATGGCTCTTTTCAGCAATGCGGCTAACTTACTTTTCAAGGCTGGAGGCTGGCTGTATAGCGGGTCCCACAGCATGTTTGCAGAGGTTATCCACTCACTGGCGGACTTGATAAACCAGCTCATTTTGGCCTTTGGCATCTACAAGTCCTCTCAAAGTCCGGACATGGATCATCCCTATGGATACATGAACATGCGTTACGTTTCCTCGCTGATTTCAGGCGTAGGCATCTTCTGTGTTGGATGTGGCCTGTCTATTTACCATGGAATTGACGGCATTCTCCATCCGGAACCCATAACAGATCTGTTTTGGGTATATTGCATCTTGATGGGATCGCTGGTCTCGGAGGGAGCCACTCTGGTGGTGGCCATCAACGAGCTCAAGCGAGCGGCTAAGGAAAACAGTATGACCTTTAAGGATTATGGTGAGTTTTATAAGTGTAATATGAAAATTTATGATGTGGTTAACCACTTGTTTTAACAGTTATTTCTGGAAAGGATCCCTGCGTTAATGTGGTGCTTTGTGAGGACGCTGCTGCAGTAACTGGCGTCATGGTGGCTGGAGCTTGCATGGGATTGAGCAGCTACACAGGATCCCCCATCTTTGATGCAGCCGGATCCTTGGTTATTGGAGCACTACTGGGTGCCGTGGCATCCTTTATCATTTACACAAATGCTAATGCCCTGGTGGGGATATCAATCGCTTCCGAGCGTCTGGAAAAGATTAACACTGCCTTGGAGGCAGATGTTATGATCAGAGCGATATACGATGTCAAAGGCATCGATATTGGCAACGCTCGAGTCCGCTACAAGGTGAGACCTCGCTTTTCAAGGGCTTTTATGAGACTAAATTACACATATTCGCAGGCTGAGCTCGACTTTGACGGTCGCGAGCTGACGCGCTCGTATCTGGACAAACAGGATCTCGCAAAGCTGCTTACGGTGCGTGGTATTGACCCATTTCTGGGCATGCTAATAACAGGTTTTGGTTTAACTCCGCAGACGGTTCGAGGCTTCCAAAAGGTTGAGGATCTGGAGGGCTTTCTTCTTGATCAAGGCGAAAACATTGTGGACCTGATGGGCGGTGAAATTGATCGCATTGAGATGAATTTGCGGGTAAGTTTTTATGATCAATGTTCAAGCTATTTTTGTCCCTAATTCTTATTTTTCTTATTTTCTTAACAGACGCAATTCCCAGAGATACGTCATGTGGACCTTGAAATACTCTAAATGCCATCCATTCGCGTGGGGGTCTGTTACAAACATAAAGCATTGGGTGATTTGGTTGCTTTCTATAAGAAATTATTGCCTGTCTAGCTTATATTTATTTCCCATTGTGTACTTCTAGATGTAACTTTAAAGCTAAGCATTAAAAGTGTATTGCCACCGGCTTGGCAGGAGCTCGGTGGTTTAAAGGAAATTCGTCGGAACATAAAATGTTTTAAAGTAGTTTATTGAATTATGCAGCGTTTTTCGTAGATGTTCCTTACCTGATTCTGTGTACTATAAAGAATGTAATTATTATGCAATGATTTCCATTTCTGGTTCCGTGGGTCAACAAAAGGAAGAGTTTTCGCTTTTCATGCAGTTAAAACCGACGAAAAGCTCTGTAGTTCTCTTCCACTGTTCGAATAGATTTCGATCTTTAACAGCGTTTTGCTTTCACTGTTAAAGGTCTGCGCCTCTGCTGCTGCCTGGGAATTTGTTCAGTCTGACTTGGCGCGTGAATTAAAACGGTTGGCGGTTGGCATTCCGGTGAGAGTCGTATAAACAACTTCTCAAAATCCAATGTTCAATGAACATAAATCATTGCTAAATATAAAGAAGCCTACATATATGCAAACAAATTGAAGTTAACTAAAAGTCAAACAAATTTGCAAATAAAATCGAGGACAACCATGCATAACAAAGCTTAACAAGTTTACCCGTTAAGTAAATATTGACTGCGGTTTATTTAGCTGTTTAATTAATTCCAAAATTGAGTAAAATAAACAAAATTTAAAGCGGTAAGGGCGTGAACTTTGCTAGTCGTCACAAAAATAATACAATTGACTTATGAGTGAATTTGCATAAACAAATTTTCTTTGAAACTCAGAAGGGGTTAGTGACCTGTGATAAAACAATAGAATGATTGTTTGTAAATATAACAAAGAATTTTCTGCATAGTAAAAAAGAGAAATCATTGCGGAACATTCCATTTTTTAAAATCTCTGCTTAATATATTAACGTATAAGAGCCAACTTATAGTAAGCGGATTTTTAATGGTATTGATGTGAGAAGTGCATCCATATCAGAAGTCAACAGAATTTTCAGTGAAATCAAATACATTTTTGATTTAAAGAACTTTTTTAATGAAAACTACCGCAAAAGAACATCCTTGAGTTTCGTTACTTCTAAAATTCCATTTAAATTTGATTTCCGCATGATTAGGAGTCGAGCAATCATAATTCTTATCACATTGTTTTGTTATTGTTATAAGTTATAACCTATAAGAGCATTAAAAGGTCGATCTGCCTGAAAAGAGTCTCCGAATCTAATTTGGTTTTTTAATTTGAGCTTTCTGATTACTGTGTGGCACTTGTTGACCCATTAACGGTACAAACAGCGACAAACGCAATTTACATGCTAATTAGATGGCACAATCACTTTGAACAATGCTCAAAACAGTGTGTTCGAATCCCATCACATAAATTCTTGAGGGTATCCCTATGACCAATACATTGCATCTTAAATGTAGAACCCACGCTGTGAATCAATTAATTCAGTGCAGGTGAAGTGTGGCCCGTCCAAATTGAGGTCGCTTTGAGTGCAATTGCTGATTCAGTTCCATTACCACAGACGAATGAATTCCAACCCAGATGACGATCAATGCCACGATGCAAATCGGGGGATGATCAATCAATTGAAATCAGCCCGGTCTCGTAATTGTTGTCACTGGGAATCTCGGCAATACATCAATTAGTTGTAACTAATTGTTGACTTATGGTTGCATATATGATTCGGTTTTTTAGTTTTTCACGAGGACAATGCTGTTTTTATGGCTGATTTGCTTGGTGCTACCAAGCCTAATTTCATGTGAGGAGGAAAAGCCTCCTACAAAGCCGAATATTATATTTATTTTGGCTGACGATCTGGTAAGTCTGGTAAAACGTTGGAATTTCTTAATATATTTAAAAATTTGTTATGCCAGGGCTTCAACGATGTGGGATTTCATGGTTCGGCAGAGATTCCCACGCCCAATATTGATGCCCTAGCATACTCCGGTCTTATTCTGAATCGCTACTATGTGGCACCTATCTGTACACCCTCCAGATCTGCACTTATGACGGGGAAGTATCCCATACATACGGGTATGTAATGTTGTACTTCTCTGGAAATTGTTCCTTATGAAATACTTTTTATAGGAATGCAGCACACAGTCCTGTATGCTGCTGAGCCGCGGGGCTTGCCATTGGAAGAGAAGATCCTACCCCAGTATTTAAATGAGTTGGGGTAGGTCGCTAGGATTCTTGGTTTATAGCCATACATTTTGAACCATATCTCTGATTGCAGTTACACCTCTCATATTGCTGGAAAATGGCATTTGGGCCATTGGAAGCTTAAATATACTCCACTTCATCGGGGCTTTAGTAGCCACGTGGGGTTCTGGTCGGGTCACCAAGATTACAACGATCACACCGCCGTTGAGAACAATCTCTGGGGTCTGGATATGCGCAATGGCACGGAAGTGGCTTATGACCTTCATGGTCAGTACACTACGGATGTGATAACCGACCACTCGGTCAAAGTGATTGCCAACCACAATTCCACCAATGGTCCTCTATTCCTCTACGTGGCCCACGCAGCCTGCCACTCGAGTAATCCGTACAATCCGCTGCCTGTTCCGGACAACGACGTGATCAAGATGGGACATATTCCACACTATAAGCGTCGGAAATTCGCGGGTAAGTTTTCAACTATATTTTCATTTAAATAGAGGGATGGGGCGAATTTTGATTTGAAATAAGAACGGCAGCTCAAGTCGGATTCGCCTCCCCACTACTTTATTTATATAATATTATTAACGCCATTATTCTCTTCAGCTATGGTGTCCAAAATGGACGACTCTGTGGGCCAAATTGTGGACCAGCTGCGCCAGTCCAACATGCTGGAGAACTCCATAATAATATTCTCCTCGGACAACGGAGGTCCAGCTCAAGGATTTAACCTCAACTTTGCCTCCAATTACCCACTGAAGGGTGTGAAGAATACCTTGTGGGAGGGCGGAGTAAGAGCAGCGGGACTTATCTGGTCACCTCTCCTGAAGAAGAGCCAACGGGTGTCCAATCAGACTATGCACATCATCGACTGGCTGCCCACGCTTCTGGAGGCAGCTGGAGGTCAACCAGCTAATCTTAGCAAAGCAATCGATGGCCAGAGCATTTGGCGTGCTCTGGTCCAGGATAAGGCATCTCCGCGATTGAATGTCCTCCACAATATTGATGATATTTGGGGCAGTGCCGCCCTCAGCGTTGGAGATTGGAAGTTGGTCAAGGGGACCAACTACCGAGGAAGTTGGGATGGATGGTATGGGCCGGCTGGGGAGCGAGATCCTCGGCTCTACGACTGGCTGATGGTGGCCAAAAGTAAGGCAGGCAAAGCCTTGGAAGCCCTTAAGATGCTTCCAAGTCGGGCGGACCAGCAGAGATTACGAGCAGCTGCCACGGTATCTTGCCAGGGGCAATCTTTTCAAGGAACCAGTTGCAAGGCTACCGCCTTCTCAGCTCCATGCTTGTTCCATATTCGCGATGATCCCTGTGAGCAATTCAATCTGGCAATGCAGTATGTACTGAAATCTCTAAATTTTGTACTTTGTAAACTTTGTTAACACATTTAAGGTACCCCGAGGTTGTAAACGCATTACTGGTGGAACTGGAACGTTTTAATTCCACCGCAGTGCCGCCTGCAAATAAGCCAGCTGATCCTCGAGCCGATCCCCGACTCTGGAACTATACGTGGACAAACTTTGGGGACTATCAAAATAATGATTCTGTTAGTGGGGAAATTAGTTTGGTAAAGACTGCTTAGAATAAAGAGATCAAGTTTGATTTTTAATTATGATATTTGAAGTGGAGTGGTCTACCCATTGCTCGTAGAGTAAAAGGGTTTTCTAGATTCATCGGAAAGTATGTAACAGGTGAAAGGAAGCTTTTCCTACCCTATTAAGTATCTTAATCAGGATCACTAGCCATGTCCGTCTGTATGTCTGTCCGTATAATCGCTATGATCTCGGAAAATATAAGATCTAGAATGTTGGGAGTAAGCATGCATATTCTTGGGCTTTATGCGCAGCTCATGTTTATTTCAACGGAGTGCACACGTCCACTCTTACGCCCACAAACGCCCATATCGCTAGCTGTCTAGCGCACACATTTTTAAAATATGTTTTTAAAGTGTAAATTGTATTTTGTTCTGATAGTCAATTTACATTAGGTCGATTTGGGAGCCTCAAAATCGTATCGGGGGAACGTAATCTTTAAGGATTTTAAGCAATATTGCCATACAAACTTATGGTCTAAAATGGCGTTTAATCCCTCTAAACGCGAATGAAAAATACGGTTTTTGGGGCAAACAAATATCATAGTAGTCGACACAGATATTTTACTGAATTTAAAGCCCCCTATTTTTGTTATGAGAAGGTCACTTTGTTAGGTTGGCTTATTCATAAATCTGTAGTGTTCCACTTTTAAATCCTGCTTACTTTTCATACGAGGAATCTTTCTTTCCAAAAAAAAATAATTTCAATTGCACCAGGTATATCACAATGATAGATCTTTATAATGACATCAATTGCGCATAGCCATCGTTTACCAGCCATATTCCATACGACTTTCTAGATGAATTTCTCAAAATGGAAAGAAATCGTAAAGATCCACAAAGAACCAAGCGACACACTAAAAAAATCAGGTGAATGTCATGGCAGTTATCGTAACGAACAGACGAAAGATTTTTGGTTTTTTCATTCGCCTTTTTAAAAATAACGATTATTTCTGATTTTTATTTTCTTGATCAAAATAAAACTTGTTTTAAAATCACGGCTTCCCTGTGCCGGTTTTTTTTTCACTAATACGCCACCAAGCCGCTAGGGGCGTTATAGGCTAGTTGGCGATGTAGGCCAAGTGGCGCTATAGAAGAAGAAGATAGGTGGCGCCATTGACTATGTGTGTTAGTGAAAAAAGGAGAGCTTCTTTTAGCATATCTACATCCCCCTTGCACTCCCTTAAGTTGAGTAACGGAAATCTATTAGTCGAGGCCATCGACTACAGTGTATTCTTTTGTTTAAATTTCAACAAGTTTAAAGTATACGTTAATATATTTACTAAATATATTTACTAATGGTCCGATTTAATCACTCTCTGACACTTCGACAGGTATTTTTAAAAATAAAAAAATACAAAATACAAATACAAAAATACAAAACACTAAAAGAAATTGCAAAACTTCTGCGACTTTTGGGTGTGCGTGTGGGCATTACACTAGGCTAAGACAAACAAGGTAAAGGTACAAAGGAAAGTGTCCTTTGAAAATTAAACTGGGTTTTATGAGACCCCTCAGACAGGGCAAAAGTATCGTTTATTATTTGTTTGTAAAATTGGTTTACAGCTTACGTTGCTTAGCGCATCTTTAAATACAAATATTAGCACGATTACAAAAAAACATCAAATGCGACAGATTTGAGTCCGAGTGCTCACATTGAATGCGTTACATGGTACGGTACATACACTAGTTACATGGGCTTATATCAAAATTCTACTATAGTACCAAAAAATGGCTAATCATGCTTGAGAGTGCCTAAGTGCATCAGTAAGTTCGGCTGAACACGTCAATTTTGATTAGATTTGCTTGCTTGGTCGGCTCTTTTCATCTGAGATTCCTAATCCTAAACATCTACTGAGAACTTGAAAGTGGTAAAGATTTTGATTAGCGCCGTATAGTATGGAGTAGTCTAAGTGTATGAAGAGGATTTAATTTGGCATATTAAAGGTTACAAAGGGTTCGGATAGAGATGTAGAAGCGTGGTCTCTGTGCGCTATGCTTGGCGAAAGGACACCGTGGATCCATTTCCCCAAGTCCAGTCGAAGTCACCGAGGTCCTGGATCCTCGGATACACCTGCTGCAACTCGCTTCCAGTCCTGGCCGTGGACAAAATCCGGCGACGGAGACTCCGACGAGCCGGGCGGCCCGTCTAAATGCGCTCCGTCACGTAAACCTTCGCGGAGGCGGGCGCATTGGACCGCCGCACCGCAAACGTCACGATAATGCCGATGAAGATCAGGGTGATCCCGATAGCACTGGTGATGTAATGCTCGATGAGCTTGTTCTCCTGGCTGCGAAGAGGGAGGAATGAAGTTAATACACGTCTTCCCCAGACCAAAGTTTAGAACATGATACAGGTAATACACAGAGGGCAATATTCAAGTACATTGTTCTTGAATTGAGAACATTCGTTCTTAAAAGCCGTGTAAGTACATTTTGGTATCAATGTTCTGAATATTAGAACGAAACAGTAAGAAAAGAAAAAGTTAAATTAACTGATAAGTGTACACCACTGACCGGACTAATAGTTAAGTTGTTAACATATAAAATGTAAATACCGCCATTTTAATTTGATTCAACGGCAGTAAAAACATTTTCAACTTCAAAAATTGCGTTGTTTTTAAAAACATTTTCAACTCAGACGAGAACGTTAGAACGTATCTCTGCGTACCGAATTAAAAATAAATATATCGATTTATTGTTTTTTATTACCGAGGTCTACAGAAATCTTTTATAACACAATTTCAAGCGAAACAATAAAATTTTTTTGTGTTTTGGTAGAACGAGATTTCTGAACCCTACCCAAGATTAGTTCCAAAAAACTCGTAGAATAAACAAATTTAAGCTATTATTTAACATTAATCAACATATTGATCCTAAAACCTTGGATTAAAGTGTAGAGATCGAAACATGCGGATAGACTGTATCAGCTGGTGATGCTGATAAAGAATATATATATAAATGATATAAACTCTTTACGACGTCTTTTCGATAATAATGCAGTTTTTGTTTAAAATTTTCCAATTTGTACTTATGGAAAACAAATATATATAGGTCACATAACCAATCACACTCTTTTAATATTATACCGACGAAAAAACAGTGAAATTGAAAGTGAAAAGACGCTAGAAATTGTGACATGCCTATGTTGAAATCATCACCAAGTTTCATACAAAATCACTAGTGATTAAGCGCTTAGTAATGACTTTTTGGCAGTGATTCAGCTTAAAAGCTATCTTAATTGTCTTAAAATCAGGTTATAAGGTACATTTGTAGGTATAAAAGGACAATTCATACCTCACGTTCGTCTCATTGACGGTTTCGCGCTCCTTTTCGATCAGTCCCGTGACGGATGTGGCAATGGCCAGCCAGAAGTTGGCTAGGCCCAAACTGGCGTGGATGGGCACCATGGCGGATCGGCAGCTGTAGGTCTTGTTCTCACAGCACAACATCACCAGAAAACTATATAGAAGGGCTGGTTAATATGCTGGATTGGGACACCGTGGCATGGAGACCCACCTGAAGAAGCCGATCACGAACTGGAGCACGAACATGCCCATTGTCACAAGGCCCAGCCACGAGTGGAGGCTGTAGAAGTTAACCTTTTGCAACGCCTCGTGGGAGTCGAAGACGGATAGGAAACCCAGGGCGATGCACGGAATGGCGACGGCGTGGAAGAACATGTGGATCAGCTTCACATAGATGTGCTTCACGCACCGGCACAAACGGTAGATCAAGATGGCTAATAGAGGTATCTCGAGTCAAATTAGTACATCCCACACAATAAAGGGGGTCTTACAAAATCCGGACAGAGTCACGAAGCCAGCGATCATCAAGATGGGATGCAGGTTGAACTGCTGCTTAGGACTCTCCGACCAGGCGAATCCGTCCCGGTAGAACATCACCCAGAAGAGGGTCAAGACCAGCACGCCCACCAGGAGGATAGTGGACAGGATGACGATAAGCAAGTACTCGCACCAGGAGCAGCAGTTCCAGGCATTATCCGGATCCTCCTCATAGCGTCTGTAACGAAATTAGAGCCCAGAAAAAGCCATGATAACACTTAATTCAGTACACAATAAATTACTTCTTTTTGCGGCTTTTTATGAAGCTGGGACGACGAAAGATCATGCGGTTTAGTTCATCGATAAAGGGTCCGTCAATTGGTTTCATATTGTTAGGTCTATCTATCACTTATATTACAAAGTTAACAAGGGATTTAGATTAGAATATATGACTTCCTAAGAACAGAGTTGGTCCAAACACAAAGTGGGGAATGTGGGTCGCCCCTCATTAAACACAATTTATGATGGTTCCGGGGGCTGCCTTGGAATTATGGAGATTCTACCAGAGATTCTGAAGAGATTACGCTAATTGTGGGTTGAATGTGCTGCTAATCGGCTTAATTGATAGACAACAGATGGATAGATGGATCAAGTGGAATCACAGAGGATCTAGGAAAATGCAATTATCTAATTTGACTAGCAAATTTTCAATTTTCCTTTGTGAGTAAAGTAGCTCTGGCTTGAAAAGTTCACATTCCGACTCCTTTCTCAAGTTTTCGAAAAAACTTATCACCTTGTCCCTAAATTTTTGCTGCAATTGTTTTGCTTGGTGTAGGTGTGTTTTCGGGTGAAGTTTGTCCTAAGTTTTGACAGCTGGGGAAAGGGTAATGTAGTCAAAAGTGTATTGTTTCCACCCAATTGCGGCCTGTCTGTCATATTAATTTCATCACTTGTCGTGCGATCGTATGACATAAAATTTCGATGGCTGATGATGAGCGCAATGATCTCACCCACCCGAAAGATACGCAGATACGGATCCATCGTCAGCATAGTGTCTAGTGCAGTGGGAGAAGTCCCACAAAAACACAATGGCCAGCAAACCGAAGCCATCTGTTGATCTGTCGAAAGTAAACAGCCTGCAGAGGAACTGGAGTTGGGGTAATTAGACGCATTGCTGGCCACGAACGAGCCGCTAATCATCGCCAAGTGCAGCTCCTTGGTCTCGTTCGAAATTCCGAAATGCATTGGTGCAACAACGTATCGAGTGTAAACAAACCTATTATTTAAATTAATAGTGCGAGCCCCATGTTGTGATAATGAGAGCCAAAGCGAATCGAGTTACTAGCCATCACTATCATCGCCGCACTCTCGCTTTCACGACACTTGCATCACTGCGAAGATAATGCCATGGGGTGCTCCACTTTACATGCGACACAATCCGCGGAGAGCATCGGATACGGCGGAGCGGGATCGGCGTGGCTGCGAGATCCCAAAGAGCAGAGGCACTGGGAGAAATAGTCATGGATCATCCGAGACTTATGTGAAATAAAAATTGCGATGCAGTTCAGTATGCAAATGGCACTTCTTGAGAATCGACCTTTAACAAGTTTTGTAAGCCTTGCGATTTTAAATTGAAATTAATACAGCAATACAATGACTCTTTAATGAGCACGAACTTAGAAATTTAGTGTTGTAGGCTGAAGAACTTAATAGATAAGATTATGATCTTTTATTTAAAAACCAATAATTTTTGTATTAAACATTTATTTTTTTAAGTGGCCAGTTTAGAAGATGGGAACACTTTGCTTTCGCCATATGCGCTAAATTGAACTTGAGCTACCATGCTATCACTATAAATTAATAAATGCATAGATCATAGATCAATAATATATAAGTCTTCGTAAGACTCTCTGTATCTCTTTATCAACCTTTTTTATATTATCAATATAATCACAAATTTATAATTCAGTTTTTGAGTGACTTCAAGTGGAGTCAAATAGGTTATATTTTAAAAGACGTTAACAGATCTCATTTTCAAGTTATGACTTGAATTCCAGATGAGATAAATGTTTTTTAGGTATAGTCTAATACTTTTCGATTTGAACGGGATAAATGGAGAGCTATGATATTGTTTTTTGCAGTGCATCCGATGGCGGTGTCAATGAACGACTGTCTGCCACAACTTGCACTCCTCCGCCTCGGTGGACGTGGACGTGGATGTATAATGTGGCTGCATCTGTGGCTGCAGCTGCGTCTGGGTTTGGGTTTGGGATTGGGACTGCGGTTGGGGCAGGCATTTAGCTATCAACACATTTCGGGGGACGAGGCAAGGGGTATCACTCTAGCTGCAGTGGCTGTTTGCTTTAACACACATTTCACTCGCCGCAGATTGTTGGAAAACAAGCCCACACCAACGGGTGTAAGTGTATCTGTATCTGTATCTTTCGCTGCACATTTGTATCTCTTTCACTTTTCATTTGCCGGCTGCGCTGAGAAATTTTCGCTAAAAGCTTTTCGTTTTATGGAAAACTCGTTTGTTGGCCGCCACCTGTTTGGTGTATTCGTACCTGAACCTGATCATGAACCTCAGTTTGGGGCTCAGTCTGAGCCCGAGTCTAAAAGCCGCGTATTGGTATTTGGCCTAGGTGCAGCGACTCATGGCTAATGGGTCAACGTGGATAAGAGGCTATTGACTCTACAGAGGCACCCACTGCAAATGGGAGGTAAATAAACAGAGAAAGCGCATCGATGTTGCAGCATAATCTGCAAATTCCTAAAGTCATTTAACAAATGGAAATTAAATGCATAATTTATGCAAATATAAGCTGGGAAAATGAAATATCTTGATTGATGCGATGAGTACTTATGACTTGACATATCATGCAAAGCTACTGAGCTAAGAAAATAAAAGATAGAAAAAAGGAAAACTTTAAATTTTTGTTTCATTTGATTTCGAAACGACTTATAACAACAATATTTATGAAGATACGCAAATGCCTTGAGGAAATGAAGTTAAAAACGATCTGCTTCTCATACAATCATGCGACGGATAAAAAATAAATTTTAAATGAAATTAAGTTCTGAAATATTTATAGCATTTAATTTAAGAAATCCCCACGAAAGTTAAGTTAGCGGCAGAAGTTTGTTCAGTTCGTACCTGAGATATGCACATTGTATTTACAATCTGCGAATAGCAAGCAAATGATTTTATATCTTGTGTTGAATTATGTCTAAGCCTCCATCGTACTATATCTGTGGACAAGCAAACTCTCCTCAAACCTTGAGTAAATTTAGGGACCTGCTTATCACAGTCATGTGATGGAGATTATGGTGACCATGGCAGCCAGATGACCGACTGCGAGTGGATCAACAACAAAAAGTACTAATCAGATAGTAGGGAAACCAGAACTCAGGTGAAGGCTGCCATAAAGCAGGCTAATTATGACATTAGTTGGCCAGCTTACTTCTCAAAAGTGGAGCAATGCTAACTGGTCGAAAGATGAAAATAGGGAAAATGAAGCGGGAAAGAAATATCGGCAGGAAGCCAGGGCACAATTCAATTAAAGAAACCATCAGATGTAACAAGTAACGAGCTGACGCGGAATGCACAATTAAAAGTCTGCGGATCGAGGCGAATTAAAACATTTGCTGTCGCACGCATGGCTGAAAATCACTCGAATGCTCGAACACACTTCTGTGTATCCTGCGGGTTGATTATGACGAAGTACGAGTGCGGCATACTATATGTACTGGTGCGGTCTGATCCGATCTGGTAGGGGGTTACTTTACAATGCCCAGCAATTGTTTAGAGACGCTGTCGATGTCGCGGCGGTTTCAATTAAAGCGATCTCTCGAGGGAGTGCGGGTATCCAGTCCAGTACAATAATCCGACCCAACCGTACACACATGCCTGAAACTGTATCTTGCAGATACAATCGAATTCGCGCTACAACAACCTGACACGATCATCCAGCGTACCCAAGTACACAGTACGATCGAAGTACTTTTTCTCCACAGGCCACAATTGTTTAAATTGAATTAATATGCCTAAGAACAGCACGCAAATTGTTTATTTTGGGTCTAAAGTCTGGCCTTGGGGGGTGGTTTTGATACTGTTATAGATCGGGGACTTACGCTGTTGTCGTTCCTCCACGCGGCATTTTGGCCAAGTGGCGATCACGCATTTAGCCAAGTGTTGCTATTTGGGCCGAAATTCGTTGGGGTTTCTGCTTGTTTTGTCCCCGCCACCCACTAGACGTAGAATCGCTGGGCGGTGCGTCACAGATCGGCTCTATATAGCTTTATATATGTGTATCTGGGATGGCCCAACTAAAGGTCGTTTATGTATAGCGCGTAATTGGACTTCTATATCGATTCTGTAAAATGCCACATCGAGAGACAATTGAAAACCGACGTCTGGCCGTGGGATCGCTAATCGCTAATCGCTAATAGAACTTTTCCAGATTGGATACAGATGCTAATGAAGCTGAATGCGTTAATTTGTCAATCACACGGAGCCAAAGAGCGATCCCAGAACAGTGACGGATTCGGTTCGTTATCTATTCATGTGGGGCCGCAAGTTCACGATGAAATTAATCAATGTGCCTTCCCCATGGATGCAAATTTCGATTCTTGTCCAACTACGTCGAACAAGACTCGGTTTCTGAGTCAAAGAAAGTGGCAGATCCGCAAGTAGCGTCTAATAAGCATCCAAAAAAATGTAGAAAAGTGGCACACAAGTTCAATATAAACAAAGCACTTTAAATATTCTCTTTTTTCTATGCTTTTGTTTATATTGCTCCTTTTGCTAACGTCGCACTAACACAAACAACCGCACGAAAATCCTCAATTAAATTCACTGAATTTTATTATCAAATGAAGTGTAACAACGAACATCAGATCGCGGCGATCAGCTAGATACAAATGAAAATATATTTCAATTTTCTGGCCGAAGCTTTCTGGAACTAAAAGATCGAGCTGGGTTTTAGACCCATTCGTAGCGATACTTGAGCGGAGACACCATCTGATCTAAATGGTTAGCAGGGATCGCAACCACTTGAATATCATTTCATATAGGAACTGAACCGAAGAGTGAACTTTCATAGCGGAGAAGTGAACCATTATGATGGAGGGACATATGAATTTTAAGATGTGTTAATTATTTGTATAAGGTTTGTTGATTATGAAGATTAATGACATGGTGACTTTCCGCCTCGCCCTTGGATTATGCAACTTGTGGTCTTAAAGGCTGTTGCTTAGGCTTTTTAGATTGGCAGTGTACATAAAGCGTAGGAAAAAAGATAGTCAAGATGATCAGCTGACTAGAAACTGTCGGGCCGAAAATTCCGGCACTGCGATAAGAAAGTGTTTTTCACACAAATTAAAACTAAAATAACACATAAGAAGACAGAAATAGTTCCTAAGTCCCCACCTATAAGCTAATTAATGGGACACCTGTTTGTCAACAATACTTTGTGACTATAAATAAGTAAGTAAATAGGAGGACCAATCAAAACACCTGACAGCAGCAGCCAGAATCAATCAAATATTTATGGAAGCGGGACTCCCGCTAATTCCAAGCGAAGTACTGGGTCAGCAACTACTCGTGCAGTGGGATAGGGCTATCTATACCTTATGCTCCATTCCCACTCCCACTCGTCGGTACAGACAACAAACACACCCTGGGACTTTGGGTCATTATTCCGGCTCCTTGGAGCCCATAAGCCAGTGGGTTTTGTGCGGGCAACGCGCCCAAAAATTACTGGAAATCAAATGAAAAGCAAATGAAAATGAAATGAAAACGAGGCGGCGAAAAGGCTGAGTCCCCGGGCAAAGAAGGAAAAATACCAGTAATTACTTGAAGCTTACCGAGCTTCGTGCCAGAAATTGGACAAGGACGGGGCCAAAGGACGCAGGAGATGGAGGATTCCGGGCGGAATGTTTACGGCCAGTTACTATGTGAGTTTCGAGCACGCGATCAACTGTTGAATTTGTGGGTGTACGGGTTTCAGGAAGGATGTGCCGGGGTTTTGTGTGATTTGCGACGAGGTCGCATTAAAATAAAATTTACGACTTTCGAAGATACGTGAATTAGGAAATTGGCGCGTAAAAATAACCCCGAGTAGTGGCTAGTACCCCTTTCCACCTTACCACCTTTAAAGGGTGTGTAGGCGTCGACATTTGTTGTCCTTCGTTATTCTTAATTAGTCTTTGGGGTAATTCCTAACGTGCCCGTGTCCTATTCCATGTAAATGTTACACATACACCGCGTGATGCCATTAAAATCGATTAAAGGCATAGTACGGATGCCTCAGTCGGCTTTGTTTTCCATATCTTTAGTTACAGGTTCCGACTGCCGGCTGAGCATCTGAGCATCGGAGATGAGCAAGGCCAATTGCCGGCTAGACAAGAGTTCCAAATTGGCCTCCGGGGAATTGGACTCTTCGTTCTCCAAGTGCCAGAGTGCCTGCCTCGAATTTGCCATGCATAAGTGACACAATTTACCTAAATATTGATAAACAAATGTGCTGGGGAATCTGCTGACTAAATTGTGTTGATTAGCTGGAAATGGGGGATTGATTGGGCAGGCGAGAAGGATTCTCGTGAAAAACGGTTTATACTTGAGTCTCAACAAATATAGGGGACTTAGATTTTAGGCATGAAAAGTATTGTAAAAGTATTAAAATGGGATTACAAATCAAAGCAATTCTCGGTTTGCTACGAACTAAAAAGTGTCTAAATCTCATTTGCTTATGGCCTCTGCTTTAAAATAAATAAAGATAAATAAGCAACAAAAAAATATATAAATAGTTTTAAATTATTCTTGTAATAGCTCAACTGAAACATCTAGCACTTATATTTAAATATTTCTAGTACTTAAATCAACTGAATTTACTCCCATTTAGGGGCTATTTTTGGCTTGTGGGAAATCTGAACTCACTTCTCATCTGGCGGCGGGGGCATCTCGATGCCATTGGGAGTTCCCGGGGGCGACTTCTCGCTGACCCTGTCCATAGCCTCCTCCATCGGCGGCAGTGGGCTCACCGAGTTCGTGTCCATGTGAAAGCAATCAATTTTGATGCCGCTGCTCTTTCACTGCATTGCGAGGAGAAAAACATTTATGAGGCTCGGCATTTAAATGTGGCATTTTAATAGAGAGAACAACAGAAAGCAGCAGGATTCCGATTCCGCATCCGCAACTCCACATACTCGAAATATGGGGGTGTAGGTCTCATCTGGTGATGAATGGCGGCGCCGCATATGTCTGAATACATATGGGCCTTTGAATTGGGGGGAACCAAACATAATAAGCGAGAAAGCCGCTTTTCATTTGTTGGAGAACGGGAAGTGGAAATGGCTTTTGGCATTTATTTTTGGCGACTCCACAAGGTGGCAAAAGTGCAGCGTCAACTGAAGTCCAGGGCATTGCACTTGGCTCGCTCTCTGTTTTGGTTTCAGACTCTTTTTTCCGACTTTATTCTTTTTTTCGCCGCCTCTGCCATGTGTGAAATTGGCTCATCACACGTCCGAATGCGTTCCGCAGAGAGCGCCAATTTCCGATTCACGTCCCCGTCAAGTTGAAGATATTCCAGATACTTCACATACCCCTACTCAGGCTGTTTGTGTGGGTTCCCTTCCCCATCCCATTTCTCATTTCTCCCACCAATCAATTATTATCGGACGTTCTAGTTCTTGGGGGTTCATTGAACCCGCACGGAGACACTTGATGGACACATCAATGCCTGGCATTTGCTGATGCCGAAGCCAACTTCCTTTTCCCAGTCAACCAGTCAACCGACAACCCCAATACGCCCCTCCATTCCGAAATTCCTGCGAATCGTTTGCATAGCTCTCTATCCCTAACCCCACACATGTGTCCAGTTCCCACGGACTGGACGTTGGGGATTGACATTCCCTTCGCCTGGATTATGTTGATTATACAGGTCCCAGCTTAGGGGTATTATTAGCAAATGAGGCAGAGACAATTTCGGATTGTGGGTGCATTTAGTTCTGTTCTGATTGAAATCGGCTTAGTCTCTTTCCCTAAGTCATTTGTTATACTTGCAGCCTAAGCCGTTTTTTCCTACGGGAGGATATAGATGTCCGTTACCATAAACTGTCTTTTAAACTGAGCTCTCAAGCGGTATTGAAACAGACGTACGACTATAGTGATGCTGATCAAGAATTTCAATACCTTTGCTCAACTTATAATATCCTCTACAAAAGTATAATAAGGTATTAGATAAGCGTTTTTGGAAATTAGGAAGGTCACCTTAATAGCTACAATATTTGATCTCATTTTAATGCTAGCACTGGATTTATATTTATGCTCTTATAGCGCTAGTACAGTGTATTTACCATTCTATTGGACCTGGCATTTCGTTTTATGAAAATATGTTTTAAGTCTAGCGAATTTGATTTGTATGATTTAAATAGTAATTTGTCTCTATTATTTGTGCATTAATATCAGGGGATACACTCACTATGAATTTTCCTTTAGATTTAAGACCTTGTTTTTCCCAGAGGGCAGACCTACTTTCCAAGCCTGAATCGCATTGGGCTACTTTTTGGTTTTTGGAGAGGAAGCTGGACATTATGCAATCCCACTATCCCGCAGCTGCTGACGCTGCCCATATCTGCGCCAAGTCGAGGGAAGAAACAAAGCGAGCGGCCAAAAACCACTCACAAAAGAAGGCCCCCGAATATTTCGAGGCCCGGATATGCAGCGACTTGTGCAGAGAGATTGTCAATAAGGGAAATGCAGGAATCGGAATCGGGGCTTCGGCGGCGGGAGGGGGAATGCAACCCTAGTCTCTCCGCAATAGACATCCTTTTTGTGGCATAGACTTAATAATCCGATTTGGGTCCACTGAGTTCTGTTTTTTTTATGCCCTCTTATAAGAATCCAGCTAGCAAAGCGGAACCGGAAACGATGCTGCGGCCGTTGTTTGTGCCACTCTCGATTTACTGTCTTTGTAAGAGTGAACCTACCCCAAGTTACTTTGGCGTGTGTGCGGTGTCAAAAACCCTTTTCTATGAAAACTTAATTACTCTATTATGCACAAACTCTCCGCAAGTGGTGTATATGCTTAATTAGATTTGTGGCCGCTTCAACGAGCTGGAATTTAACAATTTTCCACAATTAATTCATCTGCCCGAACGCGAACACGAGTTCATCCCTCCTCCGGTGGAGATGTAAAGATGGGGAGATGGCGTGGACCGAAAGGGAGCTGATGGATGATGGAAAATCCGCAAACAAGCCGGCACGGAACACGCACCGCACTCTGAAACAATAACCGAACTCCGCGAACGTCTGTTTCTTTGGCGAGTCGAAAATGTTTTGAAATCACAAACCCAACGTAAGTGTCAGCAAAACGTAAGCCACCGTAAGTTTCTCTCTCCGAGAGAGCAGCAGAGAGCAGCGAACGAACTGACTACATGGCGCTGGGAAAATTGGTCGACATTGCTCTAATGGTGCTATAATCGAGCTTCGTCTGTTGTCTCTTCGTGTAAAATACGGTCGGTCTACATAGTTTATGGCAGATACTTGTAGAGTAGAATGAAATGAGATTAGAATGCGCCACCTACCGGCGGTAGACAGATTTAAGCGTTATGGGCGTTAAAGTGGGCGTGGCAAATTTTTTTTGGATCAATCGATAGGTATTGACGAGACCAGTAAATTTCAGCTAAAATTTTGTGTCTAGCATGAAAATTGTGGGCTTCACAGAATTTCTCGGTTTGTGGGCGTTAAAGTGCATCAAAACTGTAGGATCTACAGTTTTGGGCGGTTTGTGGGCGTTAGAGTGGGCGTGGCACTCTGCTGAAAAAAACTTGCACTGCGCAGGAATCTCAGGAATCCAGTATTGTAGCTTGTATAGTTTACGAGATCTCGGCGTTCATACGGACAGACGGACATGGCTAGATCGACTCGGCTAGAAATCCTGATCAAGAATATATATTCTTTATGGGGTCGAAAACGCTTCCTTTTGCCTGGTACATACTTTCCGACGAATCTAATATACCCTTTTACTCTACGAGTAACGGGTATAATAAATGTGTTCGATTCTAATGGGCTCACATTAAACATTGTCTTAGTTAAGTGAAGAACTTTATTAAATCTTTTAGATTTATAAACCTTTCGTAAAGGCATTGAAACTTATACCAAGCTCACGTAGTTTATTTCGAAAGATCTGTAAGCTTCATAATTACCAACGTTTTGTTTGTCATTTATGTAATAGTCAGTTTTATTGCACTGCTTTAAAAAGACTACATAAATCAAAATATATTTAGGGTTGATCTCTACCAATTCATTTAATTTGTAAGGACTGGATTTATCAAAACATCAATTACTGATATACATTAGTGTTAAGAAACATCTATAAACCACATAGAAATACCTTTTAAATCTTGGCATTGAACATTGAATTATTATAAATGCTCTTGCAGATCCTTATAATCGATGTAATTGTTACATAAAAACCGTACAATATTGGTTTTACGAATGCAAACTTTGAAGTCCATTGCAAATCCTCCACCTTGAAGCAATTCAGACCTTTTAAACCATTTAAGTAAAGATATGCCATATATTTTGTGTTTTTCAGCTAACTAGGTATATATTAAACATCAATCAAGTATGTCTGCACATAGCTCGATAATTAATACACTTACAAACGCATACAAATATCAATTGACAAGTACGAATGCAATACATTTAGGCGGGTCACAGACCCCAATTTGTGGGTTAGTAGATATTAGATTATTGTCATTGTTTCGTAGGATACCCTGGAATATTGAGGCTAACTAAGCACTACTAAGTACAAGTACAAATGCCGCTCGTGCAGCGGATCCTGCTCGGAGGACCTCGACTTGCACGTGGGATGACTACTACAAATGATATAGGACTAACCGACCAGCGCGATTTGGGTACTCTTAACTTTAATCTAATACGTCATATATAAACTAAATGGTTGTGCGAATAATTTAGTCGGAGAGATTCTGCGGGGATCCTCGATCTCTGGGCGCTTATAATCCCGGCTTGGTTTTGTCATCGATGCTGCTGGCGCTGCCGGCGCTCGCCGTGCTTCCCGCGTCCGATGGCACCGGGCTGGATCGCCCTGATCCGGATTCCGCGGGCGTGGGAATTGGACTGGTGGCCGGACTGGTCTCCAGGTCGCTCGTGCTGCAGATTTCCTGGAAAGTGAGATTGGAATTCAGCTTGGGCTTTTGAACAATCTGGCTTGGCAGGGCCATTTTCTTCGGACTCGAGCATGGACTTGAACTGACCTCATCCGCCTGTGTCTTGGTAGTAACCGCCTCGGGCTGGCACTCCTCGTTGGGCTGGTCGACCTTCTCCGCCCAGGAGCGCAGGAACTCCACCACGTGGCTGTGTCCGAAGTTCTCGGCTTCATCCACGGGCAGGTTGCCCCAACGGTCCTTGGGGTTGTGGGGAACGTGGCACTGCTCCAACAGGAACTTGACGCACTCCAGGTGACCCTCGGAGGCGGCCAGATGCAGGGCGGTGCGACCATCGTAGTCCGCCAGGGTGATGTCCATACCGGAGAGGCGATGGCGACGCAAGGCCGTCACATCTCCGCTGGCAGCTGAAAAGAGCAGATTCACAATGGACAGACCCTTGGTCTCGTAGCGGTGCTTTCGCGGATCCTTCTTGTTGGACAGATGCTTCAGGTTGTCGTAGCGATGGAAGTTGAACATGGAGACCAGCTCCTCGCAGAACTGCAGTCCCCGCACCGTGTTGCCCAGGTGGTCCAGGGGCGGGGACCAGGCAAAGATCCCCATCACGTTGGGGATGACCAGCATCATGCCGCCGCTCACTCCGGACTTGGCCGGCAGACCCACCTTGAAGGCGAACTGACCGGAGTAGTCGTACGTGCCGCAGGAGTGCATGATCGAGAGCACATCCCGGATTACTTCCGGCCGGAACACCTTCTCCTCGGTGGTGGGACAGATGCCTCCGTTGGCCAGACTGGCGGCGATCACGGACATGGCCTCGCAGTTGGTCTCCATGGAGCAGCACTGGAAGTAGAAGTCCATCACCTCCTTCAGGTTGGTGCGCTTGGGGAAGCACTTGTTCTCGCGCATGTAGAAGCCCAGGGCGTAGTTCCGGTCGGCTGCCTCCCGCTCGGACAGGAACACGGCGTTGTTGAAGCCGATGTACTCCCCGCCGGACAGCCGCTTGAACCAGGACATGGTGTAGTCAAAGATCTCCGCGGAGGTCATGTCGGGCTTGACCAGAGCGTTCATCAGGGAACAGGTGAGGATGGCCCCAGCGTTGATCATCGGATTGTGCGGTTTCTCTGTGGAGAATTAGAAAAACATAAATAAAGCCACTCTTGCTCACTAGCTTAGCTTAACTTATTAAATAAAAACTGGCAAATGTTTTACTTCATTGCAAATACATTTACAGAATACTGGAAAGATATTTTAAAAATTTTTATTCCGCGCTATTTGAAGTTAAAAGGTTTTTATAATTAAGAAAACAAATAATAAAATGGGTATATTAAAAAGTATATACAGAGAGAAGAGGAATGAACCTATAACAGGATCTAGTTGGTCTAAAATGTGGTTTCTTTTTCTTTAAACATGAAAAGGAATAGGCTTTTTTTGAATATTTAAAAATCCTATTCTAAGCATTAGATTCTAAGCGATTTTTGTTTAAAAATAAATTGTTCTTCTAAATTCAAATTTAGATTTAAGCCTAATCAAATTGTGATTTGTATAAATATTGGTACCTGACCAAAGTTTGCTTCGATTCGAGTGTTACTGCCCCGATTTCTAGATATTAGGTTGGATTCTAAAACAAAGATGCATACACGTATGAAACTATACTCTCGAACAATTTCTTCTATTATTACTATTACTGTTTCTTCTATTATCTACTTCTAAAGTGAGAGTTCGTTGTACAAGTTTTTTTATAATTGGTAAGTTCCCTGTTCCCACTCACTGTTCTGATCCAGGACGAGCTCATTGAAGTTCCTGCCACTGGGCTCCTGGCCCACATAAGAGTGCACCACCTTGGGTCCCAGCTTCTCCAGGGCAATGGCATAGGTGAGGGGCTTGCTGCAACTCTGGAGGGTGAAGGGCACCTCCACATCGCCGATGGAGAAGCGCTGGCCATCAATGGTGCAGATACTCAGACCCCATGAGTCGGGATTATAACGAGACAGCTGCGGAATATAGTCGGCCAACTTGCCCAGAGTGTTCGTCTTGCAGCGGTTGTAGATGTCCTCGATGTCCTTGACGAAACTCGTAAAGTCGGGGATCACAAACTGCTGCCGGAAGGCCTTGGCGATCAGGACAATATTGGGGGCAACCACTCTGAAAAAGGCAGAGATTAATATGTGACCGAAATACACCTGGCCGAAACGTACGCCTTGAAGGTCTCCCGATTGAGGTGCTGAGTCTCCGCCGAAGAACCCGTCTCGTAATTGTTCAACTTGTGCACTTTCTTCAAATTGTCCATCAGTTCCCGCACCCTCGGATCGTTCCTGCGGATGCCAGTGGTCTTCAGTCCGGCCAGGAATTTGCCCATCGAGATGAGGCCCGTCTCCTCGCTGGCGAACATGTCGAATAGGACATCCTCCGCGTTTCGCTGCTCCTGCTCCCGATGGCTGTGAATAGAACAACAACCAGTTAACACGCTGAAATTAGCGAAATAGTTTCGAAGCCACAGAAAAGCAATTGGGTTTAGGGCACCTGCTAATTGAGCGGCGATCCCCGACTGAATTTTAGCATGCGTGTGTGGAAGAGCAAGACAAAATTTACAGAAAATATATAGCACTACTTCTACGGGGGGTTTGGCTTAGAGGCGTAAAAAGGGGATTTAAGAGGGGTTTGTCTTTGGCCAACTGGCGCTGAGCTCCATGTGCTAATTGGCTCACAGACATCTAATGCAGCGCGGCCAAACAAAAACTGCCAAGATCCAGTTGGGCCTTTCTAAATATAGATATTCCTCCATTTCTGGCTGATTTGATTCATTTGGATGCTTTTCGGAACTATCAATTCGGGAAATCATTTCGCGCAGACTTCAATTAACTCCAATTAGTTGAGTTGGGCTTGATTAAGAGATCGTTTGGGTTATGGTTCATAGCTTGGCAACTAAAATTCAACTAAAATTCTACTGGGGAGGGTGCACAAGAACAGTTCAATCGATTACTCACGGCCGCATCGAATAGTGGCGTCGCTGACTGCTAAAAGAGTGATAAACAGGATGATCAGACAGCAAATGTTAGTTAGATTTCCATATGTCGACCATAAGGAGCGTGTAATGAGCGTCAATCAACGCAATTTTCGTATTATTGGAGGTTTTTGGGGTGTGTCATATAGATAAAGGGGCGTGTAATGTGCACAGTCTATTTTTACGATCCACTCGATACTATACGTACATACTCGTTTTGTCCCTGCCCCTGGCTGTCTATTTGGGTTGCCTTTCCGGCACTATTTTTACCTGATTATCGCGGAAATAGTACGCACTATAGTGCCGCGGCGATTCTGCAGTGAGATGCCCTCGATTATTTCCTCGATGATGGCCGCAGTCTCCGTGGTTTCCTGCTCCTTGCCCCTGCGGTAGTTCTCCTCCCGCTCCTTGGTCTCCCCGTCCTCGCTCTGCCGCTTCAGGGCCTCCATTTCACTTGTTTGCACCATCCCGGCGTATACGTGATATTCGAGGGGTTTAGTCGATTTCGCCTTGTATCAGTGTCTATTTTACTTTTACTGGCTTTCGAACTCGGATCGCCTTGACTTGAGCGCTGAGCTGTTGCAAGTTTAATGGGAACACCAGTAAGCGCGCCGGCATTTTATACATTAGCGGAAAGTGTGACTTTTGCTGCTGCTCCCAGCGAACGGAGCACTTAGATAGTCGCACGGATAGACGACCGGAGATCGGAGACCGGAGAGCGGTGGGTGCTGAGCAGGGCACCACGGAGAGCCGAGTCGGAATGTGCTAATTTCTAAATCATGTTATTGCCAATAAAATAAATTAATTAACTCCTTTTGCTCTATACAAACCCCGGCTGGTACACAAAAACCCACACGAGCTCACACAACCGCAGAGTAGATATGGCTGGATTTATGGCATTATAATGGCACTGGGCATTGTCTGGCCCCTATAGAGCAGCAATTCACATGGGCAGCACTTCGGCACCGATAAGGAGGACAACGTCACGCGACGGAACCCCTTTCCTTCTTCTTTATTTCTTGGTTCCGATAAGGAGGTGGGCACGTCTCCGGATGATTCACAATTACCTGATATACTTCGTTATCACCTTGATGAACGTCTCCTTCTGGCTTTTGGTGCAGAGTCCGGCGACCATTTCGGCTATGATTCCGGCGTCGATAAGATCCGCATCATCCTGAACCCGTTCCTTGCCCCCTTCAGTGCCGGACAGGGGTTCTTCGACAGGAACTTCCGCCTTCTGCTCCGCCTCCTTGACGGCGTTTCGCTTGACCAGTTCTATCAGCTCCTCCCCCGTCATGGACTTCAGGTCGTCCACTATCTTCTGCCGGATGCTGTCCTTGAACTGGGCCGCCTCCTCGGCGGTGTATCCGTCCAGCGGGAGAGGCGCCCTCTCGGTGGCATACTGCAGCAGGTTCCAACTACGATCGCCCATCATTTCGATGATATGATAGATAAAATCCTGCTTTTTCACTGTGCAAACTTGCGGCCCGTCACCGCCGAAATGAGCCCATTCGACGAACGGCCAATGGTTTTATAGTTCGCCAACATTATATGTACATACATCAGAGCCAATACACACATAGTATAATTCAGCAGACCCAAAAAGAGTGAGCGAATTCGATTTTTATCTTCGTTTAATAAACGTATGTTAATTTATTTTTATGCGCTGGCGATTGCCGGCAATTAGCGCTTGCTTTCTGGGCAGAAACCTCCCTTTGGAGCACACAGCCCCATTCCCCCTAAATGCTTAAAACAAAAGGGGAGCCCACAAAATATTTACCCCAAAAGTGCCATCAAAATATTTTCGCCATTTCTTTGGACTTTGGCAGAGATTGTTAATTGTGTGTGTCAACGGTTTGGGGCGGTTGTTTTCAAAACAATATTTTCCGAACTAAGAATAGCACTGTAAGCTGCAGCGGATCTAAAAATGGATTATTGGCATATGAAATGTTGCCTGGTAGCAGGGAACTTTGTTGACCCGACTGATTCTGGCCACGTGGTAAATAGTTGGGAATCGCAATCACAGACGGGGCAGGTGCAAATGAGTGGGCAAATATTTTGTAATCCCAACAATTAGTGACTGGTGCATTTGTGCTCTGATTTGCATTGTTTCCAGGTGTTAGGTGACAGTGAAGATGGAAAAGGTTCGTATCGGGTACTCACAGTTTGGCATTATCCTCTTTGGTCTTTGGAGTGGAACTGGTGTCGTAGAAGGACAACTTCCGATTGGCGAACACCAAATTCAACAGCGGTGGTGCGCGCAGTTTCTTCTGAAATGGACAAACAATGGGTTGAGTATTACAGCTCTAGTTCAGGTCAGGAATTCCCAGTTAGAGTCACGTATTCCAAGTTATGTCAAGTGCCAACCATACGGCACGTACTAGCATATTTTTAAGGTATGTCCAATGTATACCGCAACTGGATCGAAGTGGAAATAATGGCCAAATGCCGTATACGAGCACCTTTTATAGTAAGAAGGGCTGGCCTATCCAAACTTTAGTGAAATCCCCAAAACTCGGCAACACTTTCAAAGCTTACAAGGATGGTGATAACTATCATACTGCTTTGGCTTTTCTCTTTTTAATATTTCCCTAATATTTGCAATGCAATCTTCCAGCACATTTTTAATTTGGAAAATATTCTCATCATATTTACACACTGTTCCCAGCCTACTAACATTTTCGTACCAGCTTTATTTACGTTAATGGAAAAGTGTAATCACTCATTAATGTAACCGAATACTTTAGGACCTGCCTTGAGTCCTAAGTACAATTGGATTGGATTACGTAAAGGCATGACGCCATTCATTTCCTTTCATTTGTAATTGCGGAAAATACATTTCCTTTACTAGGAATAGCAAGTTCCACAAGTATTGCTCTTCTCCTGATTAAAATAAGCCAATATTGACTTTGCGATTTAAATGGAAACAAAATGTTTGAATAATCTGTTTTCAATGCTAAGCTCTTTTCGCACTCGCTGCTTATTTGTATATTATTAAATACATATTTAAGCGAAAGAAAGTCATGTGAGGGGGGATATATCGTACAATAACAACTCAGGTGCGGCATACAAGTGAAAAAGAATATAATATTTGCCAAACAAGTTTCCGTTCAAGGGGCCTGTCACCATTAGCGTGGGACTTTGGCACCTTTTAAATTGGGATACGAAGAGCTGACGAGCCTTTGACGCACAACTCGCACGGAAGTGCAGAGATTACTTTCTCAGAGAAAAGAGAAAATTATGAAATTAGTATCTCGTGCACAAAAGATCCCATTTTTGTGTCACCTCCTACAACTTCAGCTCGATTATATCAATGTATTACGAAATACATTTGTAATAAACTTCTGTCTTTCGTTATTTACGCAGCTAAAGTTTTAATTAATGCGTTATGTCTAAAAGCTAGGCTCACACAATTCTATATTATCGTAAATCAATAAGGTTGTCTGAATATAATTTGTTGTTGCAACTGGTAGTCCCCAAATATTGTCATCTTAATGAAGACTGAAACATTATAGATTAAATTGACGGGTTCTAACTATAATTAGGTTGGAAGTGAGGCTTGGGCTTCCGAAAAAGCATTACGTATTAGCAGCTGTGTGTAAAAAATACATTTAATGAGTGTTTCTTACCATATGTATTTCATAGAACGAACTTTATTTTATCTACGAATTTCTTATCCAACATAACATCTCTCTCGAAATCGAGCTGATTTGTTCAAAGTTTTTAAAAATGTTTCGCAGTTTATCAAAAGAGCAAGAGAGTATCCAAATTTTGAATTTATGAAATCAGAGAACTACTTAACACTCTTGTTCTCTTTCCTACTCTTCACTATTCTCCATGTTAGAAGTGAAGGGGCTTGGTTTTAGTGTTGTGGCACCTAAAATATTAATACGAACATTCGCGCGTATGCAAAATATTTATGACTGTGTGCTCTTTCATTTCTCCCATGGCAACGAAAAATGGCAAAAACAATTTCGACTAGTGATGGACTTTTGCCAAATCTTAGCTAGCTTAATTTCAATCCATAATTTTTTCCATATGAAATACCTCTGATTTGAGTTTGTGCTTTAATATACTTATATGTTTTTTGTGGTTGCCATGCTCACGTTTACACTATTTATTTTCGGGTGACAGTTTCGCGTGACTTTAACACCCGAGAGTCTGTGAATCACATACACATTAAAAAATGCCTCAAAGTTGTATTGGTGGAATAATTGTTTAAACATATGAGCTGATTTTTAAGTTGTCTACGAATATTAACCGAATTTATATCTAGCGGATATTATACAAAATAATCTCCTTAGGCATGGCGGAGTAGCACTTTATGAGGACATCTAATACGATATTTTAACAAAGCACTATACGGTTTTAAAATAACAGGGATATTTTTAGCTATCAACATAACATAAATCATATTTTAATGCTGATAAGATTTTTAGTTCAACGGATAAGATAAACACTTTCTTGAAGGAAAAGACTCATATATTCAAAAATTTGTATGGTAAAACGAATCTATAATTTACTATTTTTTTCTGCGTGCAGTGTACACTTTTTTATGGACCAACATTCTTGCTGGTGTTTCACGAGCGAAAATATTAATAATAAAAAGCAGATTTTGTATAACAATTTCGATCCCCCTCCCAATCTCGCAATCAGTGTTTCAATGTCTCGGTCAGCGTCTCGCCACCGTCTGATTTTTGGACATTTTAATATACATACTTGTTGACAACCAGTACTATTATTTTGGGAGTTTCACATGTCACATGTGGTTTCGGGGATTAAGGATTGGTATGTCAGTTGATTTTCACCTGATTAGCACCTATTTCCCCAAATTTGTCATGATAATTTCGCAATTAATTTGCCCGGTAGTCTAGTCGCCGCAATCCCAGATGCGATAAGATAGGCCACATTATCATTTTTGGGGAGAGACAGGACACAGTGGGTGTGTTATCTGGATATTGCGTCAGTCACGCTGCGCTGGGCGTTTATCTAATTAAACTAATGCCCCGGCGTCTTCTTTTTAAAATATTGCGTTGTCAGGCTGAACGAAAGTCATATGCCCTTACGTGCCTAAAACCAGATCCGATATCTCCCAATTGTTTAGCTTTTAAATCTATTTTTGGATCTCGCAAATTCTTTGTTTTTCCGCCAGCATTTTGTTTTTCCACATCTGTGCGGATTATGCGTACACTTCGGTAATATCACATGAAAAATCAATAGCCGGGCGAAATTAAGGCCCAAAAATGTACACAGTCAGCTGTTTTGTGACTCAACCCCCATTCATAATCCCGTCGCGGAACTCACCTCTTTGCATATTTTCTGCTGCAGCTGTTTGCCCGTGTGTCCGAACTTGGCGCGCTTCGAGAGATCCGTCTCCTGGTCCAACAGCTCCGCGGGCTCGGCGGCGGAGGCCTTGGCACGATGCTGGTGGTGGACCAACACCTGTCCCTGGGTCGTCAGCAGACGAAGGTTGCGACCGGCTAGCGAGGGAACACCTTTAAGCATTATCACAATCACTGACTCGGCTGATTTGGTTGCCCTAATGACGACGCTGTCTCTCTGATTCTCTGATTCTCGGATCCGGATTATCGGATGCCCAACAGGGGTAAACCTTAGTGCTCGTACTTGGTGTCTGGGTCTTGACTTGCGGGCTTCGTTCACGTTGCGTATACGCTCCGTTGTCTGCACATGCGTTCTGTTTTACCAATCGCTGGGAACTAAACGCCGAAACCAGAAGCCCATAATCAGCTCAGCGCTGCCGCAAAATCGCTGGCAGCGAAAAAGCAGCGACGATTACTTCTTCGGTCAGTGAGTGAGCATAACCGGGAGCTCTCTTTTCCTTTCCTCTGCGGGAGCGTTCAAGACTCTTCCAGCGGTGGTATTTCTCTTTGATGTGAGTGGGCGATGACGTTTCTAGGGGCTCGTCCAAGCTAGTGACGTCACTTAAAGAATTGTGTTAAGTGCGTCAGAACACTGAGAGTAAACATAGGAGAACTTATAGAAAATTTCAAATTTGTTCAGATAGTTAGTCTAACCATATAATA